TCCTTTCCACTGATGCACCTGCTAAGGTGCTGACAGAAAAGAGTCTGCGCTTGGCAGGAAAAATGGGCTTATTTTTATTTCGATGCCAGGACAATGATCTTGTTGAACATGTTTGTCAATTTGGTAGGCATGCTACGCCTCGCTAGATGTTCCTGCCGCCCAACGCACCTCGCAATTTGGTGGCAAAAAGGAGACATTTTAGACTAGCTGAAAGCAGGTCTATTGTGCAACTGGCGTCACACAATTTTAGTCTGTGGTGGATGTCACCGGATTTAATTAATAAATATGACACCAGTGTGGGACAATCCTTTAACATGCTGGCAATAAATTCATTGACCATATTATTATTTACCAAATATTAAAAATAGCAACCCATGTGATTATTGGGGGAAAGGTTTTTACATGACTTACTGGTTTACTATAATTGAATATTTATCCAGGGATTTTAATTTCAGTAATATATTTGAGTAATGGATTTTACTCAAGATTTTCATGGGTGACTTGAAAAGTAAAAATTACCCGGTGACCGCAAAGCTACTCATTTGTTGACCACAATACAATACAGCTTTCGACAGCGTGTTAATGAGCAACCTTGAAGTGTTACGTCATCAAGATATGATGGTGGAAGTCTTTTTCAGTGTCAGACCAGAATGACGTTCAGCACCAGGAATTTTCAATCAGCTGTTTCACCTTCACCTTCTGGTTCCACAGATTTCTAATTATTTGGATTTTCCATCTGGTACAATCCATACTGCTGCATGCTTTTCAATCGAGACTTTATCTTAAGATTACTACCAAGCTACAGTACAGTTAAAATATTTTTCCCTCCATTTAAAAAAAAAAAAAAAAAAAAAGGGTGATTTGTGATTAATTATAATATAATAATAAATGAATTTACGACTTGAGAAAACCATTTTGGTGATTTTCTCCAGTGGAGGACTACAAATGATATACATTCTCTTCGGAGGTAGTAGTGTTCTCCATCTGACACACATTTTTCTATTCGTCTTGCTGGACATTGTTGGTCCTTTGCACCGCATATAATCGGAGTCCTCCAAGGTTTCACTCTTCGATCTAGTGTAGCTTCTCTCTCTCTATCTGCTCACCATAAGCTTTAGCATTAAAAAAAAAAAATTCTACAGACAACACCCAAATCTGCCTGCTGCCTTAACACAAAGGCCCCTTGTGATGTTCAAGTTCAAGTCAACTTTATTGTCAAATGTGCGACATGTGCAACAAACAGCACAAATGAAATTTCATTCCTCCCAACCACAGGAGAGAGAGGAGCCGCTGCGGGTGCCCGAGTTCTTAGAACCTGCTCTCTAAAATGGACCACAGGAGCCAGCTTTTAGTGAGACACTTCATTAGTGCACAGTAATACTGTCTATGTTGGTGTTAGCCGGGCTTCCCTCCCTCGATTGCAAATAGTCCAGGACACTGTTGCTCGACTTCTATCTGGATGGAGCAAACAAACATGAGCACATTTTACCTTGACCGGCATCTCCCAATTAATTTTAGCATTTTGTTTTAAAACATTACCGTATTATTTGCTCAGAAAACTCTGAAAGGGCCGACCCCATCCTACCTTTGCGACGTTTTTCCACCGGCACCGAATGTGTGGTCTGTAGATGGATCACTTCTTGCCGTCCTAAGAGCAAGTTAAGGAAAAACAGGGTATTTGCTGTCACAACCCAAATGCTCTGCACTGAGTTGCCCCCATACAGTTGCCCCCAAACCCCCACAACTTTTCCATACACACACACACACACACACGCACGATACTAGCCCCACCCTGCTTTCATTTAAAGCTCGTTTGTTCTCCTTGGCGTTCTCAGACCATGTATAAGAGTTTATGGATTAATTTTGTGGCTCTATCGCCTTTTTGGAAGCAGTGTTTTAGGTCCTGCTTATGTTTGTGATATATGCTGCATTTAACCTATTTACTGATGTACATCACTTTATTCAACCGGGTTCGGGTTTTTTTGGTGTTTCCTTTTTTTTTTAAACGTTTTTTTTTTTTGTTGGCACTTTATAAATTAATTTGATTGGGGCCGGATGATATGACTGACAACATCCAATTCACCATTTACATGATCAGATGGAACTCATTAGACTGTGTACTGAGCAGGTGTACCTAATGAAGAGTCCATAGAGTATATGCTCATTAATGCAATTTTTTAATATGCGGACATGGCTCCAATTTCGTTTATTGGTTTAACAATGAATTAAGTGTGCTGAATTGGCATTAACATCGCCAAATAAGAAGTGGAATTTACTCGTACAGTATCGGATGCCCAGAGGGTGGCTGTGTCCCAACCCACCAGAGTCGTTATCATGTCTTCCTCAACAGCCTGGCAGCATTGTTGCAAATAGCTGTTTGTTTTAGTTCTGATCTCCCCACCGCCAACCCCGCCACCAAAACAAAAAAACAAAAACAGTGGCATGCCATTTCATTTGATTTCTGCCATGAGGAAGCTCGAAAGCATGTGCCACACATAAATGTATGGCGTAGATTATAGACTTGTGTCACTGAATGTTAGTCTAACATTTCAATATCGACATGAATGTACGTGGAAGTGTTTATTTTGGTCGACATTTCCAAAAGCATGAGCCTACATTTTGTAAGTTTCCCCACTAAGCAGCTGTTGCTGCAGAGACAAATGAATGAATCAGCACCTCTTGTCCGCTTAACCAAATTTGTAATCTAATTATGATGGTAACTCAGGGATTAAATTCCAATTACCTATGTTTGCATGCGTGTTTTTTTATTTTTTTTTGTGGTTTGAGCTACAAATATGTTCCTCAAAGTTAGCAGGAATATGTTCCAGCTCACTTGCATCCCTGGTGAGAATAAGTGGTAATTTTTTAAAGCACATGTCTCAAGGCTAAACTCTCGCTTTCATCAAAGCTGTTTGAACTGTACACACAGTGATCACCTCGCTCGTTAAGGTCAAAATTCTGGTTTCTAAAAATATTCATGATAACCCTTTTACATGCGTAAGTGGACAGTTACCCACGTAATTAGAGGCAATAATTGTGTTCAACTTGAATATCTTGAGTGAAAGGCCGACGTATGGAGAATATCATGATGCAAATAGATGTTATCCCCCCCACTGTCAGTTTGTTTCCCTCTGCTTGTGCACTTCCCATGAGTTGCATGCCAGACACAGAATATATACAGGTGTGTGTGTGTGTGTGTGTGTGTGTGTGTGTGTGTGTGTGTGTGTGTGTATATATATATATATATATATATATATATATATATATATATACATATATATACAGTAATCCGTTTAACGGGGTTAATGGGGACCAAAACCACCCGCAAAAAACGAAAATCCGCGAAGTAGCGACCGATTAACATAAACAGGTAAAAAAAAAAAAAAAAATTTTTTAAGTCCGCAAACGGTCCACGAGAAGCTGCAAAACAGCGAGTCACATAGAGCAACATATACAGTACTGTACTCCATGTATATTAATTTTTTTTTTTTTTTTTTTAATGTTGGAAAAAATCCGCGATATACGAACCGCGAAGTAGTGAGGGATCACTGTGTGTGTACACACACACACACAGACACACTTTGTGTCGGTGTCACCTTGGAGACAGAAAATAATGTGAAAACACCGTAAATCAATGTATTCACATTAGCTTCGCTTCGCGAGTGGCAACATAAGTTGTCCACCGGCACCTTCACTTCTCAGTATGGCAAGTATCGCCACGCATTCAGGGACTTCCTCTACTCAAAAAGAACAAGGTTCCTTACGGAGAGAGAATGTGCAGAACACAAACCGGTGCCCCTTCAATGAAGGGGGGGATCTTGATCGTGTTCATATGACAAAATATTGGGATTCAAACCCCGAACATTGCCAATATTCAGGTTTTGAAAATGTTATTGAGTGCACGTAAACTTAGTCGATGTGCTTCTATTTTTGTTTTAGGAATAAATCTCACTTCAAGGCAAACAAAAGCACATGCAGAGGTCAATGATGCGTGCATGACAGCAATTTGAACTTTGACATTTCGCACAACCGTAGTGGTGTATTTTTTTTCAAGAAATTCCCGAATGGTATGATCGAAGTGATGTTGGAGGGTTTGGAAGCAGCGCATCACCAGACGACAACTGCAGCCTTTCCCTATACTTATTTCGCCTCGTGTGCTCTTTATTCAACCTACCAAGAATCTGGAAGAATTCTTTACTTCCAAGCAGGCCATCTGTTATTGTGCATCTTTCATCCCTTTTAAATGTAGCCCTGCCAGGAAAAAAATACCAGTGTGAAAGCCCCTTTAAGGACGTGACAAAATGTGTTGTGGATTAAATGCACTGTGCATCCCCCCTCCCTGCCCCCCCGCCCATCATCTCTTGTCTGCCGCTCTCTCGCTCTCGCCCTCCCTCCATCGCTTCGTAGGGCCCGTGGGAAGAGCAGACTCTGGGAGCAGACAGTCTGCAGCCCTAAATATATGTAGAAGAGGGAGAAGGGGAAGGGAGGGCACATTAGCAGGCAGAGGAGCAAGGGAGAGCGAATGAAGGGATGCAAGGAAGGAGGGAGGGAGAGAGGGAGAACATACTGAGTGGTGGAGGACATACATTGCACAGTGTACCGGGAGAGCCACATCCACACAACAAGGGGGGAGAGGGAAGCAAAGCAGAGAAGGGAGCATTTGGGGTTTCAACTCACATCCCTCCTCCTCCTCCTCAGAGAAAACACATGCTCACACGCACACACTCCGACTCTCTCTCCCTGACACACGCGCACACCACACATGCATAGACACACACGCGCCCGCGCACACACACACATTAACAGGCAGAATTGCTTTAGGGTATACCAGTCGGCTTTGGCAATCCTTCCCTTTGTTGTTTCAGCTATTGGTTAGTCTCGGCAGCAGCGTGGCGTGTGCCTCTATCGTTGGGGAGGGTGTGTGTGTTTGTGGAGTCTACGAGGCAGTGTATGAAAGGATGCAGCTAAGAGGAGCCGGGTAAGTCCGTTCCTTCCTTCCTTCCTTCCTTCCTTCCTTCCCTTCCTTCCCTTCCTGCCTTTCTTCATGCTTGCTTCCCTCCACCGCCTGTGTACATTGGTTATATGAAGCTCTCATCTCTCTCTTCCTCAGTCTCTTTCTCAGTCTGCTTGACAGCGTCTCCTCCCAACTGTGCTCTCTCCATCCTCGCCTCCCTTTACTCTCTCACTCTCGCTCTCCCTCGCTCCCTCTCTCCAGGCTGCGCCTCATTGGTGTGTCCTGATTCCCTTTTTCCATTAGTAGGCTCCGGGCCCATTGGTCGCCCTCCTTCCAACCATTATCTCCACTCGTCCAGCCCTCTGTCATCCTGTCTCCCTCCACTCTGCCTCCTCACATTCCCCAGTCATCTCTGAAGTCGTAAAAAAAATTAAAAATGAATTTGCATGCAATGCGGGAGCAGAAGTTTGTACTGAGCATGTTAAATGAATTGGGGGAGAAGTAAAGGGAAGGCTGTCAGAAAGAAGAGGAAGGACATTTTGGAGAAAAGTTTCAAGAGAAGACTGCAGCTGGTAGGTAACTTGTACTAGTTTGTGTTGTCTTCTCGTAAAAATGAGCAATAGTTGGATCATGTTGCAAAGTAACAAGTAATATTGACATTTCTGAGATAAAGCAACACATGGCTGAGTTAGTTGGTAGATTAATATTTGCTCTGTTTTTGTTGTTATGATAATACGTCCGTACGTTTCATCAGTCGCACGTTGACTTGAAAATGATCTGAATGACGAATATGAACGTAGACGTATCAAGGCAACATTCATTTAAAAGTTTGTTTTCAAAGTTTTGTCTTTGTATCGTGGCTGACTGAACAAGTGCATTCAAATGTTCTGCGCTTTGGATGTTATTTACAAATGACATACTGCAGAACTTGGATTGTATTTGCGCTTTGGTAAAATGTGTTAAATGGGTTCTTTTATTGTCATCTGTTTTCTGAGGGGTTGCAAGGACATTGTGTGATAGGCTGAACGGAGCTGTCCGTGCCAGCAAATAAAACACAAGACATATTGACAACCTCCATAAAAGAGGAAAATGCATGCTGAGCTTTCCTACACAAGACAATGCAGATTTAGTCGTGAAATCTTGTGCGTGTGCGTATGCGTGTGTGTGTGTATATTCACAGCAGAATGTCAAAGGTGCTGCAACTTGTTTTAGTCTGTAGAGATAAACCAAGTGAGGCGCTTATTGTTTTCTCTCCCTCGCCCGCAAACTGTTTGAATGCAACATGAAGAGTTGTAACGCCGCACATAAATTGTGAAGAATAGTTGATACAAATTGTATCTGAACCTGTCAACATTACCACAATATAAAGTTCGAGTCATTCAAAAGTCAACAAAATAATTGGATGTAAACCCAAATGTGTTTCCCACTCTTTAAAAAATAGATACATCTAAATTTCTTGCATCCTGCACAGTCACCATGTGCGGACAGCTGACTTGGCATAAAGTGACACCATGTTCTTTGGGGTCTTCCTCCTCTGATAATGTCTTGCTTGTTAAGAAGGGACTGGTGTTGTCGCGCGGAGAATGTGTGCTTGTGCAGCACCACCACGGCGCCTGATGTGCTTTGCGGCGGACAGGAAGACAGGCCACTGTGATTAAATTAGAGAAGGAAATCACGCCACCCTGCTTGTACTGAGAGCAACATTACAGGGGGACCCCAAGCCACCCACCTCCCCCACCCGTGTGTGTGTGTGTGTGTGTGTGTGTGTGTGTGTGTGTGTGTGTGTGTGTGTGTGTGTGTCTCTCTCTCTCTCTGTCTCTCATTCAGGCTACTCACGAGCATAACTGTCTGGTCTGAGACTGCAATATATATCACTTTCCGTACAGTTCCACAGCGGACCTTGATATTGTAATCGAAAATTCCTGTCGAAATACAGTTCGATGATTCGACAGATAGAAGACAGACAATCAAGTTAAATTGAGTGAGAATCTTTTTCTCCAGAAAATGGGAGTCCACTCCCTTCTACCACTGCAGCCTAATGAATTGTAAAAAGCCTGTCAGGGGGATCCCGTGCTTGCAAACAGCAGTGGGTGCTTGCGGTTGTTTGTGCCGATGTCACACACGTTCATTAGCCTTCATTTGGTATTTTTACGTGTGTGTGTGCGTGTATGTGTGTCAGTCAGTCAGTCTTCAGTTTTAGTGTTTAGGCCATTGACGATTATGGAAACTCCTCACTTTGTCGTTTTTAACGTTTTTGGTGGTATTTAAGATTCTTGATAGCCTGCAAATGTATTTTCATATTGACAGATATGAATGAGTTTTACGTACTGTAGCATTGGCCTCTGTGGTGCAAACAAAATGCTGTCTTAAATCCCAATGTTAAATATGATCTTTCCCTTTGGCACTATCAATGTGGTTCACATTTGTCGCACTTTTTCTCCATCTTTGTCTTCCCCCAGTCGCTAAAAATATAGATGGCGATACGTGGTTATTTGCAGAAGTTCTAACCACTGTTTGTCTCGTGTTATTTTTCTAACTGATAGCTGAAAAAGATATTGCATATTTGTTGCTGTATTCATAAATCAGGTTGATGGAAGAGGAATGTGTTCGAGGAGTTATTGCTATACTTGTCGATAGCCGTTATTGTTTCCGACGGTTAACTGGACTGATCAAAATTTACGTCTTCAATGCGAAGCATCTATTATCCTACACTGTAAAAAAAAAAACAACAACAATTTACAATGAAGCGCCGTAAATTTATGACTTCAACAGTGAAAGAGTAATATTATATTTAACTATTCACACATGCAAAATTTTCAATACAGTCTTGTTAAAATTGTTATATTTCACTCTAGAACAGGGCTAGGGAACTCCGGTTCCTCGAGAGCCATATCGTGCCTATTTTCGATCTCTCTTCTTCAACGCACCTGATTTAAATGATCAGCTCATCACCAAGCTCCGTCGAGGCCTGAAACGATCATGAACAATTGAATCAGGTGTGTTGGGATCTAAAACAGGCAAGATATTGTCATGATCACGTTCTGTTAGTGTCCAGCAGGTAGCAGTCTGGTGGCTGTCTGGCATCACAATCATTGGGACTTTTAAAGGACCTCATGCACCCACGTCAAGCTGTCAGATAATTTCGCCTTGCTCAAGTCATAAGACGCTCTCTTATTACTCTCGTTCCGTTCTTGGCTCTTGCCTTGATTTATGTTTTCTCAATTTTCTTGGCTCATGCCTTTGCTTATGTCCTTCATTATTTAAATAAGTAGTTATTGGTGGGTTTAAGCGTATTTACGGTTTGCTCTCCATGCGGTTTGGTCTTTCTTGTACTTTTGTTACAAACTATTTTTGTTTGCGGTTTTTTTAATTTATTTTTTTTTTTTATTCCTTGCCTTGTGCAAGCGCTTCTTGTTTTCTTCACATTATTCCTGGCTTGTTGTCCAGCATCATTATTTGTACTTTGTCGGCCTGGCGCCTATGTTTTATGAATAAATATTTTTGTGGGATCAATTTTCCTGACTCGACGCTTGTAGTCTGTCTGTAACCTTCTGGACACCCGACATATATGCCTCTCGAGGAACCTCTGCTCTAGAATTTACAGGTAGCTGTAGTATATCATGAAGGAAAACATTACAACACAAATTAGTGTTAGAATGACATTATCATAACATCGACAGTCAGGCTTTTTCCAAATTTTCCCAAATAATGCATTCCTTTATCATTTGTGTTCACAAAGTTTTTATCAATTGCGATTAGATTAAGTTCATTCGTTTTGTCTTTGTGCATGTGAAGAATGAAGAGACTGGATCTTTTCCCAGTCATTGTGCTTCTTTGATATGACTTCAATGAATGAGCCATCAGTTGCGAGGCAGTTCTCGCCAAATGTAAGATGCAAAATGACATCGGCCGCCGATGACAATTGATCATTCTGATTGGTTAATAGCTAGCGAATCAGTGAACACAGGAAGCAAAAAAAAAAAGGGACAGAGGCAAACAAACATTTAGTCAAGTTGTGGCCAATGACTGCATGTGGAGGCTGTCAAGTCTGGATTCTTCACAAAGACAAATCCTTGCGAAACTTTGAAAAGATACCTGGGGAATCAACTTGCTCTTCCAGTCTTCTCAATGACGTGGTTAGGCAAGGGCAGAGCAGGGATTGATCCATCTGAGCAGACACAATGTCAATACTGATGTCGGCTCAGCGTGAGATGTGGCTGCGCTCGTGTCCTTCACCGAAATCTCCCTGCAACGTTGGATATATAGCAGCCATTAATTAAGCCACCTTCAACAACGAACTCTATTTACTCCTATCCTTAAATTTACTCCTAACATTAAATAATGATTAGAATAAAATTTCAACCTCACAGAATTAAAAACAGATAGCCTTGCTCTTGTTTTTAAAATCTCACCTAGGTTTTTTTTTTTTTTTTTTTTTTTTTTTTATAATAGGAGTGAGATGATCTGACTGGATTGCATTCATGCAAATCTACAAATTGTGCATTTCGAGGTTGTCCCAAACTAGCATTGCTTTATTTTTTTTGAGGAGGTACACTATGGGCTTTCCGAGAGCAATTTTTGGTTGTAGCCATGAAAATACATCCAGCATGAGGAAAAGACAAGCATCAAAGTTGAATCTGGGGACTATGCTTTTGTCTGCCTGCGATTTGCATTGAAGATTGGTCGCCAGACCGGCATCCTGATGTGGGTATCCCTCCTGAGATAGCATGGGAGTCCACCATGCACACACATCTCCGTGACTCTCCTCGGGGAAAACATGATCTATCTCCTGGCGGGCAGGCCAATTAAAAACCAATCAGGCTGCATGAAGTGCGCTGGTAATGGGAAAGCCACAGTGGTGGAAGTGGGGCTGATAAATGGACACTTTCACCTTGTGGCATAACAGCCTCCCACCAGCATCCATCACCCTCAGGGACAAGGCTCTCATACACGCCACTCGCAGCCTCTGTGCAATATACTGTACACTCGCTGACCACCACATTTGGGACGACTCCAACATTGAATGCAAAAGGGACCTTTACAAGGCAAGGATGCTCGGCCTGTCGTGACATTGTCAAAGATCATTCGTTTGTATGTTCTTGTGGTTTTGGAACTGCACTACGGCATACTGATTGTACTATTTTGTTAATGGGAATTGCTGAAATGAATGTTCCTTATACACACACACACACACACACACACACACATGGGTCAGGCAAAATGACACATTTGTAGGTTAAATGAAAGTAAAGAAACAAAAAAGTGTTTATTTTCTTAAAGTACATATAATGCCATTCTGTTTCATTATGTTTTAAACATTAAGTGGAGTTCTGGCAGTGCGAGATCGGCCGGTTGATTTTCATTTCAATGCAGATCCAGTAGCTCTGAAGTTGCTAACCCATAACAAGATCGTGTTTTGACCTGGTATGGGGTAATGGCTACCAAGATTGAAGTGCAAACGAAACGCCCGTTGTGTTGCGGGTTACAGATTTGTTTGTTTTGATCAATGTTTCCACAATGAAAGCACGATGCTCACCAGTCCAATTCATGGCAGCAACTGAAAAAAGAAACG